TAATGTGTGCTCTGGGGAAGTGGCTGCAATGCTCTGTAGTCCCTCCTTATACAAATACTCTCAGCACTAGAACAACAGGACCTTTCCATTCCCAAATCTAGACTCCCCAGATTGACAACATACCATTATGTACATGCTCAGTGATTCATCCCTGAACACATGTACCTCTTATTTCTGAACCCACAGTACTGTACTGCATTCAATTATCCTTTTCGGTCATCCTATTTTAATTCTACATGTTTTCTGTTAAATGCATTCTAAAACTGACTTCTTCAACATCCTCTAATTCTAATGACATTTTACTGTCAGTCCTCTATTTTCTAATACCCCCACAACCTCTACGACTAACCAGCAACACAACTGAAACCAGTCCTGTGCTTACCCTGATTAATTCATTTAATTCTGTCAACTCACAGATGATTGAACCTGCCCAAGGTCACTCAGCTAGTAAGGACACATGTACACTGGGTTGTAGACATGAGGACTATTTGCCAGTATTCTCTCTGTAACCTGGATACTGTGCTGGGATCCCAATCTCTCTCTCTCTCTCTCTCTCTCTCTCTCTCTCTCCTCTCAACCCTTTTTAACCTGCCAAATTCCTATGGGTTTTTAAATGCATAACTCAGGGGTCATCTCTTCCATGAATTTCTCAGGTTTTCTATGTCTGTGTGTTGTCTTGCTCTCTATCATCCAGGTGGGGGGCCTTGGCCATGGGCTTCATTCCCTGCCTGTTTTTGCTGAAGTGTAATTGGCAGCAGAGTCTTCTATCCCCCTTACTAGGGTGTAGACTTTCAGAGCAGGGCAGAGTCTGGGTCTTGACTTGGGATTCCCAGTACTAGCACAGTGTGTAACACATGGCATACACACAACAAATTTTGAGTAGTGACCCCACTTCCCTGCATTGACCCTCTGAATTAGCAGGAAAAGAATTCTTATCATGAGAAATACCATTTTCTCAGCTTTTCATGAACTCACTGTGTCACTAAGTTTACACTGGGACAAGTAGTTGCTACTAGCTGAGGAACTACCACTTCCTAGACACTGAGCTGTATGCTTCATGCATTATCCTGACAGGTCGACATCATCCTCATTTTATGGATGAAGCTCAAAAATCAGTTATCCTAAGTAACTGGCATGTAGTCATACAGAAGGAAAGCTTTGCTTAAAAGCATTATAAAATGCTCTATTATATACAGTCATCCTTGTCCTGGAGAGATTCATTAGTATTTGAAATTACTTACACATATACATACACACATACATACTGCATTAATTTAGATGTTGGAGTAGTGAAAACATGGTTAACTAGGATTTATAGAGGTTCAAGACAGTTCTACCATATGCATTATCTAGGTAAATCATGCCTGTAGTCTTAAATTTCTTATCAGAGAAACAGGGATTATAATACCTACTTAATTCAAAGGAGGTTGAATATAAAACAAGATGTCTGCCAAAATGCTTTGTTAAAGCATTGGGCAGTGGCCCATTTTAGAGCACTCTGCTGGATGAAGAGTTTAGAGCAGTGTTTCTCAGAGTGGTGGCATCAGAGCCACCTGAGGTGTTAACAGCAGATGGGAGAAGCCAGGCTGGGAGTCCACATTTAACAAGTTCCCAAATGATCCAATGGGACACAAAAGTTTGATGAATACCAGGTTAGGACAATGCTTCTCAAGCTTTAATATACACATGAATCACTTGGAGATCTTGTTAAAATGCAGATATGAATTCAGCGGGCCTGGGGGGTGAGGGGAGGGCAGGCTGAGATACTGCATGTCTAACAAGCTCCCAGGGGAAGCCAATGTTGCTGGTCTGTGGATCACATTTGAGTGGCAGGGGGTTGGAAGATCTATTCCCACTGGAACAAATTATCTTTGCTTTGTTCCTGGACCACAGACTGAATCTCCCAGCCTTAGGGAGTATTCCGGAAAGCACACCCTCTTAGTATTGCTACAACACACTTGAACTATTCAAAACCAAATTGGAACACATTCCCTGTCCCAGGAGAAGAGTAGTAGCATCCTCTCCAGGTACAGATAGCACATAGGTTTAGCATGTAAAAGAATAAATCCCTATTACTTGAGTCTTACTTACTTTGCAATGCACTTAAATATATTATTTCTAATTCCGACTACAACCCTACAAGGTGGATATTCCTGCTCTACAGATAAGGAAATGATGACATCTAAAGAGAGCATAAGTTACTTGCTCAAAGTCACATGGCTAGTTGGGTGTTGCAGCTGGGGTTCTAATCCTGCTCTTTTGGGATCCAAAGCCTATGGGCCTTCTGCACATCTCCCATGGTGCTAGGTATGATTGTGGTACAAAATGTAACAGCTTAGGGAAAAAAGTGGGAAAAATATTTTCTCCTCTATTAGTCTTTGAGTTCTAGGCGCTGCCAAGGCAGATTCTAGAAGAGGATGAGGATGCGGATAGGGTTAATTAATTAGTGATCTGTAATATCTCATGAACAATAACATGCAGGTTGCATCTTTGTCCATGGTCTCCATAAATGTGATAATACAGATGGAATAAAAAGGACATCTGTGACCAGTGCACTGATCCTAAATGTTGTTACCTACCCTCAGGCTTCTAGCTGTGGAACTCAACCAATAAGAAGGAAAAGTTCTTTCTGATCCTTGTGGCCTATCAACTTTCATTCCTTCTCTTATATGAGGCTTCTGTAACCCTGAACTTCACACCAACTCAGGTTGACCCTACCATGTCACTTCATAGTTGCCACACCTCCCTGCCACTGATAAAACTGCTTGCACCTGAAAAAAGAAAGGACTGTTTAGTCAAATATATTGAAAGTGCAGCAATCTTGAAGATTTTCTTTTGAGTAGCATAATCTTCTGTATTTGTCATAAGGTTGACATGTAGAGAAATGCATAGCAATAATGATGCTCAAAAAAATCAGATATTCAAGTATATCGAATGGAGGAAAGACAGCTATGAAATAAAGTAGGCATTTATGTACAGTGCCTTTACCTTTTAATGACCCATGGGTGAAGTATCCACAGTCAGTTTTTTTAAACCTCGGACTGTGTAACTGTCATTTTCCACACACGCATCTTTAATAACAGTAGAACTGTTTACCTATCTAATGCAAAATAATACAATTGAAAAGCCACATCTCCTGTAATTATATACATAGCAATCTAAAACCAGACAGTGATATTTGAACTATTAAGAATTATAAACCGATTTTGCCCCTATCATATTCTCTACACGTTTCAAAAATAAAAACTGAAACCTAAAAAGAAACTGGTTTGAAACCCACATAAAAGTATTTTTAGAATGGTGTGTGTGATTGAAATAGAAGCTAAGAAACTGAGTCTGGAGCATTGATCTCATTTATAAGCATTTCCTGTTTCCACTCCCCAAGCCCCAGGAACAGTACAGATCTCAGAAAATGTAAACCAAAGGTCCACAGAAACCAATTTGAGATTTTTCTGCAGAGACTACTGAAATGTTTGGACAGGAACATGTTTGCAATGAGTCATAATTTATTAGACCTTAATGGCCAATGTCTTCCGTGCCTTTCTTCCTACATTCAGTATCATTCTCAAACCAGCTGGTGATATATTCTCCAGGCCCTAATGATTTTTATGAAATTACCAGATCTCAGTTTCTAAGGTTGCTACCTAGCACCTTTTCTAGTGCTGATTTTGTAATGCTATCTAAACATAAAAGCACCTGATTCTCTTCCTAAATTGCAAATCTCTCCAACCAGGCAGTTAATTACTTTCCCCAGCGAAAGGGCACAGTACTTTTGAGACCTCCAAAGAGAAGATGAGAGGACTTGGGGACACTCCAAGTAAAATAAAAAAGTGGGAAAGGCTAATGGAAGGAAGGGGAGGGGGCCTCTGGGCACAGGCAGACATAATAACAGGATATGTTCGCTTCTAGAGGAAGCAGGAGCTGCAATAGCCCAAGGGCAGGAAAGGCGGAGTCAGCAGCACCCTAAGGACACTGGGCGCGCGAGGGTTTGCAGGGACTTGGCCCGCTTAGGGACGCGTGGTTCAGTCAGGTCCTAGGCTGGTGAGCACCTCACGCGTTGGAGACGAAGCTCAGGCAGGCCTCCTGGCACTAGTGGTTATAAAGAGACACCCATCTGCTCCCTGCCACCTCCGCCAGAGATGGGCAACGGCGCGAAGAGGAAAAGCAAACACCAGGCGCCCGCGGCAGGTGAACTTGTCAACAAGTCAGCCCTGGACGCAAGTCCTTGCCCAGAAGGGACCCTGGGGTCCCGGGGCCGGAGCCGCTGGGAAGGAGAGGCACGGCGTGGGCAGAGTGGGCTGGCGCGGGTGTGGGTGCCGCGGGCGCTGGGGCTAGAGATGCGGCCCGCGCCCGGAACGCGTCCCTCCCGCTCCCCCTGGGCTGACGCACGCTCTCATGGCGCGCGCATCCTCCAAACCTGCCCAGGCCCGAGGGGGAGGGGAAGGGGCCGTAGCGGTTCCCACACGGGGACCAGGGACAGGAGAAGGCGACCCGCCTGTCACCCGCCGCCCGCGGAGGGCATAGTTAGCGGCCCCAGGCTGGCGCCTAAACCTCCGCGGCTGCCGGGCGTCTCCCGCTGCAGCCTGCAGCCCGCCCGGCGCGCCCCCGCCCCGACCCCGGAGGGCAGGTACCTCGGAGCCCCGGCCCCCGAGAGCCTCCTGGCCGTGGTCGGAGCGTCCCTCCAGCTCCCTCATCCGACGTCAGCGTCAGCAGAAGGCGAGGGAAGGGGGCGGGGGGAGCGCAGGAACCGGCCCTTCCTGCGGCGGTCGCCGCCAGCCGGAATAGCAGCCGGCGGAGCCCGTGCGCGCCGCAGCGCAGCGCAGCGCGGCGGCCGGGGGGGAGCGGGCGGCCTCGCCTCTCCACGAACGCCCGCGCCCCGGGCGCCGCCGCCTCCCCTCCCTTCCTCCGTCCTCGGGAGACGCGCGGCGGGGCGACCCCTCCCAACAGGACCCGGGCACCCGGAGGAGCGGGGGGGGCGGCGGGAGGGGGGAAGGCCTCACCTTTTGGGGGGCGGGTCCGGGATGAGGGGAATGAACCTCCCTCTCTCTCTCCTCCCTGGGGACTTTCCTTGACCCCCATCTCCTGGGGTATCCCCCGCTCAGATCTACCGCCCTGGGTGACCCCACCCCTGCTCTCCCGCAGGTGTTACACGTGTCCATAGCGTTTACGTCACAATGACCTGGCCGACAGGTGGGAGCCGCAGCGAACGCCCCAGGGCTCCCTCTGCGCGCCGTGCGTGGTGCGTCCCACTCGCTTCCATGTAAGACTTCTGTGGCTTTAGGAAACAGGAGACTTCATTGATTTCAGTGCCAAGAAAAGTTACAGGGGCCTGTATCTGGAAATCAACTTTGAGCTTAAAGGAAAAAGGCTGTGTGAAAAAACAACTGTGTATGTATATGTATATATATTTTTATTCTACAGTCCTAGATCTATTAATCTTAAGTTATTGACGCTTATAGTAATTTCATCTTATCATCAAGAAAAAACACAAGCTCTTCTTTTTAGAGTACCCTGCGTTGATCACATAAAGAGAAGGTGTTGGAATAGGTCTTCCTTAAATTATGCCAAAAAGCAATCCCAGTGTGCTCTGTATGACTCAATCCGTGGTTGTGTTATATATTTATAAATACATTTATAGAATAGTCACTGGTTGAAACAATTTAACAGTGGGATGGTAGATGGTTACTGAGTAATGATGCAAACAAACCTGAAATCCACAACTAATATGAACAGACTGCTTGCAGTGTGTCAGGCATATGCTGTAAAACTTTACCTTTAATGCTTCCTGTAACCCAGTGCTGTAGGTGAAGTTACTATCCCTATTGTTACTAGCCCTATTGTACAGATGAAGACACTGCCCAGAGTGCCTTTAAGGCATTCAGCTCATAGGATTTTGAGCAGGGAGTTGAATCCTGGGTGTGAACCATGCACAAGAGGCTTAGCTTAAGATAGAAAGGTACCTAACCAAGATTGACAGAGAAAAAGTATAAGGGATGTTGACATTTTTTAAAAAATTTAGTAAAATGGTACAACTCCGCAAATTTATATAACCTTAAAAGTTGACATTGTTCTTTGGATATATTCTTCAGGGATTGTTTGTCATAGGTAGATTTGAGCTTGTCTTAGTACAGCACAGAATACAAAGCTGAACAAACATCAAGTCATTAATAAACGTTTACAAATAAATACTGAGTTAATATGGTCTACAAAATAGCCAATTGTTGAGAAGCTGAGATTCAAGAGACACTTTGGAGGAGAAAAGCATTGTTCCTATGTATTTGGCTTTTCTAAGAAGCATTCAAAGTGACCCGTTAACAATAGAGACCAAATTATTTTTGCTGTTTGTAAGAAGAAAAAAACACAAAACCCTTTAAAATGAGGGAAAAAAGACTTCTTTGCAAAAGCAAGACAATTAAGATGTTTTGTTTTAAGATACTTAGTTCCAAGAACTGTTAACTTAATGTGTTAGAAACATATTATTTGGAATTTTTGAAAGATTTTTTAACAGAATAAAGTGCTATTTCTAACATAGTAGGTGCTCCATGAATGTTGGGTGTTTCCGTTGTTTGAAACATTGAGAAATAGATCACAAAATTTCCTGACTCCCTAATGTTCTCCTTTCCACCAGTGGTGATTTACTAGTTACATGAAAATGTATTAGAAACCCTATTTATCAAAGGCTGGTTTTGTGGAAGATAGTTAAATTTGTTACAAGAAAACCAGTAGAATACAGGTTGATAGTGTGTTTGCATTATTTTCTCAAAATGCAGTTAATTTGAACATAAGCTTTGGAGGAAATGAGTATGAAAGTTGATTTATGTAACTAATTATTCAGGTTTCTTGTACTTTTCTAAAGGCCAAGGTGAAAATTTAGGCCATGAGTCAAACAATGGAAGTGAAAAGTGGCTTTGAAGACAGTGTTTAAATGTGAACAGGTATGTTCTGCAAGCGTTCTCTGGTCAACATGGCACTGAAATTACTTGGGCTCCCAGAGAGTCTAAGATAAATTTTTTTTTTTTTATTTTACAAATAGTTTATTGTCAAATTGGTTTCCATAAAGCTTCCAGTGCTCATCCCCACAAATGCCCTCCTCCATGCCCATCTGAAGATAAATTTTTAAATGACTTTTTATCATTATTGTTGTTCTAACATTTGGATATTTCAGAAAGGAAATAATAAACTCACACACATTCTACATCACCACAACGAGGGCATTTCCTTCCCCTTAAAAAAAAATTGCTCAAATGATTTTTTGAGAGGTTCCAAGGTTCAAGATGTGCTAATAGAAACACATGAATTAGGAATAGTGTTAGGCTGTCATTAACAGAGACCCAGAGTAGGAGTGATTAAATGAGGTAAAGGTTTATTTTTTTTTGCACATTAAGGAAATTTGAAAGTAGACAGTCTAGAGATGGTGTGGCCTCTGATGGGCCGTCAGGGTGTGGCCCTCCCCTCCTTTTATTTTATTATTCAAAGCTTAAAGATAAAATCCAGGCAAGGATGTGGAGAAGTAGAAACCTTCATGTATTGCTGGTGGGAAAATAAAATGTTGCAGCTGCTTTAGAAAACAGTCTAGCAGTTCCTCAAATGATTAAGCATAGAGTTACCAGATGGCCCAGCAATTCCACTCCAAGGTATATATTTCCAAGAGAAATGAAGACCTCTGTCCACACAAAAACTTGCACACAAATATCTATAGCAGCATTATCCAAAATAGTCAAAAGATGGAAACAATCCAAGTGTTCATCAGTGGATGAATGGGAAACATATCCATATAATGGACATATATATCTATATAATGGAATATGATTCGGCCATGAAAGGGAAGGAAATACTGGTACATGCTGTAACTGGGATGAACCTTGAAAACATGCTAATTGAAGAAAGCCAGCCACAAAAGTCCATATATTACACAATTCCATTTTTGTAAAATTCTAGGGTAGCGAAATCTACAGAGACAGAAAGTACATTAACGATCATTTAGGGCATACACTGGTATAAATGTATATATAAATGTACATATACAAGCTGTTAATATACATATAATACAGTATATTTTAGCAGACTGTTGATGTATATTTTTAATATGTATTTTTAATGTTCTGAGTGCCCCTTATGCTTTCAGCCAACGTGAGCAAACAGGGCAGAATGCCTTTCTTCCTTTTGGGACCTATAATGCAAATGAGTGCCTTATCATTCATCTGGACAGATAATTATAGTTCCCGACTGCTCTGAAATCCTTTTATTTTCTGACTCATCTTTGATGGCATCATATATACTTATGGTACCTGTTCTAGAGTTAGATGCTAAAGTAGAGCTTAAGCTATTATTTTTATCAATAATAATAATTATAAGAGCTATGCATATAAATCTCTTCAAAACTCAGATCATTAATAAGACAAAAATTGCTTCTCCTTGAGTTGCTGGGAGATTCAAATTAGATAATCTGTAAGCATAAGCTTTGAAAAAAAGTTTTAAAAATTATTATTAAACTTATCGTCTGATTTTATTGCTGATAGAAATTTAAAGAAAGCTTAAATTAAATTTTATTGGCAAAAATGAAGTCATTTATTCCCTGTAAGTGTAATACTTAAAGAAGAATTAGATGTACTCAACTAAATATCTTGACCAATTTTGGTTTAATTTTTGTCATCATTTGTCCTCTTTCAGGGCAAAACAAAGCTTCTTTTATACTCTCGGTAGAGCTAGTTATGTCTTTAAGCAAATTTGCATGCACATGTGAAAATAGAACAAATGTTTAACTAATAGCATTAACTTTTGTTAATTAAAATTAACTTCCTTTCCCTTCAAAATTAAGGCTTCAATGAAGAGAGGAGGCTTATTTTACACTGAAGAGAAAGTAATTGTTTTCATTCCATACAGCTTAGATTTTTGGGTAAATAATACCCCACCTCTCACCCCCAGTATCATCCATTGGAACTTCTGCAAGAAAAATGCTGGTGAGAGCTTCAAAATGGGATATCTTATCCACTATAAATAGAGAATTTTGTCTGTTCTGTGCCTTCTGGTATAATCCTGCTTTTGACTAGGAACTGTGTTGCAGTTTGGTTAAACCTCAGCCCCTGGTCTAAGATGTGCCCCTGGTCTCATACATGAGATTGTGTTCCCTAAGGCAGACATAGGGCTAATGATCCCTCAAAGAGTCATTGTCTGGTAAGGAATAGGACTTACCTGAAATATTGGGATGCAACTTTCTAGGTCTTTGTCCTTCCTCTCCTCCTCTCCAGAGAAACGATTTAAAACAATCACTAAGAACCCTGGTGCAGATAGTAAAGGTAGTTCAGCTGAAGCATGGGCTAAACATTTGGTTTAATCATGAGGTAAGAAGCTGATTTAGGACTATAAACCATATTCCCTAACTCCCAATCAGATGCACTTTTCCTCTTCTAGTTTTAAGTCTGTCACTAACTTGCTTTGGCAGACTATTAAATATTTCCCAGTATTTATTCTCCCCTCCCACCCCCAGATCCCACAGTAATATAAATTTTAGCCGAGTATACATTGTTGGTCAGCTGAAGACTACATTTTCTAGCTTCCCTGGCTCAAGGTATGGTCATGCGACCATACTCTAGTCAATAGAATATGACTGAAAGACACATGTGTAACTTTTGGGTCATGCTTTTGAAAGAAACACACCCTCACCTTTGTCTTGCCTCTTTTCCACTGGTTGGATCACCTTTGGCCATGAAGGTGAGGGCAATATAGGGAGATGGCAATAAACTTGGGTTCCCAACCACCTGATCTGCCACACTGCCTGGTCCTCCTGCATGAGTTGTTTTATGAGAAGGAAATAAAGTTCAGTAGTGTTTAAGCCATTATGTTTTTTGGATATTATTACAACCCAGACTTTATCCTAATAAATCTGTCTACTCCATGATGTTGGATTAGATAATCATTTTCCATAAAGTTTATATATTAAGACAATGATTCTCAATCTGTGGGTCACAGGACCTCAATCTGAGGCCCTTTGGGATTAATACAAAGAGTATAATGGTATTTGGTGTTAATACAAAGGGATATGAATCTCTAACCAGTAATGTCTGCAGACAAAACACCTGCTCGAGAAATAAAAGTTGCAATTTTTGAAATACATATGATGTGATTATAAAACAAGTT